GAGTTACAGTTTAATCAGGTTACACTCTATATTCTCTGAGATAATTTTGTTTCAATATATATTTTACTTTGTTTGTGTAACTCTAGTCATTAAGTTTGGCTGGGGGAGGATTTCACAATTTCACACCCAGACGAACCACTTGTTCGAAGTTATGTTGAAGTTGAGGACGTTGAGAAAAATCAGAACGATTGCGGAGAGAAAGTTGCATTGTAAAGTGATGAAGTCGATGAGGCCGATTGGGGTCCCGGTGGGGGTCGGGAACTATACTTTTTTCCATGCGAAACGATCCAATGAGCTGATGTTGATAATGTTTGTCGTGGATAATACAATTTCATTGCTACTTATGGACTAATTGCAGGTTGAAGTTGTGTAATAAGAAAAAATACGTATGTATGTACACAAATATGCTTCGGATTTTAGAGCTTAATCATAAACAAAAAATTAATACTAAATAAATGAGGGTAGTAATTATTTATTTGCATTCCCAGTATCGTAAAATAGTTTACGAAGACAAAACAAGTTTCGTAAAAAATCGTAACCTTACAATTAGTAACGCGATTTTTAATGCCAAAATCTTACCTGGCTACAAAATTTCGTAACCGTCGTACCTTGTTTTATCGTACGAAGATAACCAAGTATAAAAAGGAAGCATTAATATTTATATTTCGCGTTTCATAACGACGCAACTTGTAATCTGAACACGTGCTCTTTGTTACGTAAAGAATACTAATAAATATGTAAGATAAATTTGTAATTAGAAACGGACGACAGTATTGCGTGTAAAAAATAATTTCAGGCTGTTTTGCAAATACAATTATACCCAGGAAATTGTAATATTGCATTGCATTCCGATTTTTTATATCTGCCAATCCTTGAACTTCAGTAGTGTTCACTTGTAACGATAAACTCCTCAACTATTTTGCGTAAAATAATTTCGGCGATGCTACATATTTATTTTATAGAATTTTTTTGTCGGCCTTCAATTGATTTTCCGTCTTACATGAGTGATTTTTTCTTAAATATGTAGATTATTTGTATTATACCTAGATTATTGTAGTGGTGTGTAGACCTGCTAGATAAATATCGAATTCAACTTTGCATGAATATGGACACGATAAATATAGATACATTACTACAAGTAATACCATATAGTAATAGCCCGGCATTAAAGTTTTACCCTATCGGTAGTAAATTGTCATTTTAATACCAAGCGGTAGCAACTTTAATACCGGTGAATCAGTACCTGCATGACTATACCAGATTTCTTACAGTGCACATACATATTTTTATTACAGATTGAACAAAAGTATTTCCATTATAAAGTTAGGGAGACCACACAATAAATAAAGTCGCTTACGTGACCATTCCACCTCGTCGAAGTGTCATATTATTGATTGTTTTGCACCACATTCGTCTAGCGAAAATTAAGCATGCTTCTCATAAATTTTTAACTACTGAAATCCCAACAAAATAAAACACGAACCTTGATAAATTCAGTGAATGTGTATCTGTAGAACTAAATACAAATATTTTTATTGGTAATGTAAATCCGACTCCATCTCATAATTTGTCAGGAAGTAAACAAGCCAAACAAACTCTTGAACGGTCAATGTACATGCCGATTTTTGGTCATTTTTGAAAACGTATCGTCATGACGGTTATATATCTAACCTATGGCAAACCTTTAACTAACCTATGATTTGGATGCGTATACGCGAAATGAGACCCCAGATCCTCTATAAATTAGTGATCATGATCCACGGCTGTTTCTGTTTAATTTCTTCAGATGGATCATTCGCCGTAGAATCTGCACCAAGCTGGCAACTCGGCGATGTTTGTACCCTGCACGTCAAACAGTTCAAAAATACTTCATTACACCGGAACCTTCTGAATTTGGTCGTGCTACATAATCTCCCAGCTAGACATGTCTTTACCATTTGGAATTCTGACAGTTCATGGATCGTTCGACCAATTTTTTCCTTCTTTGAAAAGTGTTCCGTCAATGTCGTCATTTTACCAGAAAATTTGCAAAAAATTGGTACTGCGCACGATTATCTCGCGACTCGAGCGAGTCACATTACTTTCGCGGATCGAAGTTGGATTAATTCCTTGTATATTTTGGTAGCCACGTCGTGTGATTCATTAGGCGCAAGCGTGTGGTTGGGACATGTGGTTTACGTACATTTCGTCAATTGTCCCCAGTTGGACGGGGTAAGTCAATTGTGTCTTATTTTGAAGTTTGAAGTATTCAAATTCGCAAATCCAAAAAATTTCAGACTTTTAAAATTTTTACATTGATTCGGAATTTGTTTTTACTCAATTGTATCAAATGTTAGAGTTAGCCTATTTAGGACACGCTGAGTCATCACCAAAATTGTCAACATATTTTTAATCATTTCCCTGCTCTGCGAATTTATTTTAAATTCTGAGCGACAAATTTGTTGTCAGTAAGGTTATTATGTGTGTAATAGAAAGACTTGTAGATCAAGGTCAGACAGCTTCGATGAGTTCCTATTTTTCTGAAGGTTTGTCTCCTCCTTCAAAAGCTTTCAAAATCTGTGTATATTTAAAAAAAAATTGGCGACGGCCTTCTCTAAAAATTTATCGTCCCGAATTTTTAAATAAATTCTCAGTGTATAGAAATGACGTTGGCTTTGGGGATGAGTTATCCAGTCCTACGTTAATATTGTCCATGCAACTTTTCTTATTTTAGGTACATCCTCCCGGAATTTTCCCACAGTTCTATTTCTGCAAGCGATGCACCTCCAGTTGGCTCCCGCTAACTGAGAAACATTCGATTTTTTCCGAAGACCCAAGCAAACTAGAGTCCCGCCGTTTTATCCCGCTCCGTCTTAAATTCTTTGGCCCCTGTGGATGGCCCGATCTGGCCTCGATGGACTGTCTCTCTCGAACCGCGTTCTCGATCCAGGCCAAAGGCCCAATTTATTGTTTGCGAAACGACTTCCTGCTACAGCTGCTTGCACAAAGATTAAATTTCTCGGTGCGGGCAGTCGGTACACATTTGGATGACAGGACGGCATCAAATGGGCACATTGAGGCGCGCAGTTTCAGCGTCGTGTTGCCGGGACATGTCAATCACGTAATCTTTGACGGAATGGTGTACAACAAGTTCTTTTACTGTATGCAGCGCGAGCATGAATATTTCCTAAAAGGGAGCGGCCTGCTGACGATAATTAGTTGGACGGTGTGGATGCTACTAGCGTTGAGCTTGGTAGTTTCAGGAATGTTGACTTATTCGAAATGGTTAGTAATTCTATTGAATGAAGGTGCCCGTCGTGGCGGCGTGTTGGCGGGAATATTATCGCGGGTAAGTAATAAATTTAAAAATGAATTTTTTATCAAAATTTAATATGAGAGCCGGCCAAAATACATACTTTGAAAGTTGTACAAATGATTAGTGTGTACGTAAAAACAAAAACTCAAGTAGTTTGCTTGGTTGATTCAGATGCGTAATTTACATATGAATGTAAAAGTAGTAAAAGATAGGTCATATAAAATTTAAACCCTTCGCTATCAGTAAATGATCAAAACCGTCTTGTAAATAAATTTGCAAGTACTTATTTCAACTTGAACAAAAATGTTTTGCTAATTAATTATTTAAAAATTTATTATTATTAAGTTTTTGATTTGATGAATGTAAAATTTTCTAGAGCATGTTTCAAATGGTGCAAATCCTTCTCCGACAAACGGATGGGGGTCCGATCGAGTCAAAATCGAGGCCATTTCTAACCTTCCTTCACGTTTGGCTTCTCGTGCTGACGATAAACTACGAAAACGTGTTTACTTGTAACGTCATCCTCCCCGAGGTTGAAACAACGTATGGCAACCTACCTTCCCTCATGGTCAAAGGAGGTTATCGGGTGAAGCGGTTCATGAAGAAAGACGTTCTCGAGAAGTTCGGACCATCTGGTTTTACCTTGCCGGACGAGACCTTTATTACCGGGATTTTCAAACGGGCCGGGATGTTGAGACAGTTTCGGAAGGAGGCCTTCATCGGGATTTCTTTCGAGGACTTTTACAAAGATACACAATTGAGTGTGGACGAACCAAATAATAAAATTGCTTCTTGGGTTAGAGGTACACAAAATAGTTTACAAAAAATAATAATTCGATACGATTTGGCGGGTTGAAAAATGTTAGGCATAAAATTCCAACGATGCTCCGTATTTAACTATTTGAAAGATGTAGCGTTAACTTCCTTTAGCTAATTATTTATCATGTTAATTATCATTCAAAATGTTGACCACGGGGCCAAGGCTGTGTTATCACTTCCAATAACAGATTTCCAGGAATCTTTAAATTTCATTAAGATGAAACAAATCGATTTTTTAAATGATGATAAAATTTATGCATTTCTTAAGGTTACGAGTCCCTCATGCAGCTTACGCATCTCCAACTTAACAAAGGAAACCGACATAACGTCAAATGCTTCATGATTTCTGAACCTGGCGCTGATATTCCCGCATTCTTCATAACATGGACCTTTCTGAGGGAATTCATTGCTCGAGATGTCCAAAAGATGAGAGGCGCAGGACTCTTCGTATTCTGGACTGGGATAGAAATATTCATTCACCAATCTGCCAAAGAAAATCGAAAGCCCAACAAAAGTGCAGACAACTCATCCAACTCATTCTTGAAACTTGACCATTTGGATGTTATGTTTTACCTCGTGGGCTTCATGGGAAGCGTTGGTGGGTTGGTGTTTCTGGTGGAAGTCAACGTTTTTGGGATTGTTCGACGCGGCGTTAAACGTGCATTGTGGCGAATTAAAAAATGGCGCAAGGGAAGATGGCAAAGAATATCGAGTTAAAGTTGGCATTGGACCTTAATTAACTAATAACCGTGTTAAAACCCTAATTATTAATACATATGCCGTGATTGCATTAACATGTATTAGAACGATCCTGGTCTAATACTTGTCGGATCAAAAACCAGAATTTACAGAAACGCGTTTCCACAGCATTCGGGGGAGATAGATGTGAGACTAGTGGACGTAACGTTTTCTCGCATTTTAATTTTATGATTTTTGATTTGACATGGGTATTTTCCGTGTTTACACACTTTGTAATGAATTAATGGAATAAACGGATACGAATTACGAATTGCTAAATTAACACACATATGTACGTAACTTAACAGAACGTGATCTGGTTGATAGTTAATTTCCATGGATGCTTTAATTTCCGAGTACTCGTTGCAACATTCTGTAAGCGCTAGCTGCTTGTGGTCCTGTCTTTGTGGCTAAAAATTAAATATTATCCCAATAAGTCCAACATTATCTACAAATATTAAATTGAAATCTTACGATAGGTCAAACGATCCGTATAACCGATAAAATCCTGAAAATAAAATGAATTGTTTTGCTAAAATCTTAAGAATTTTTTGCTCAATAAGTATCTTAGCCAAACATATAAAATGAAGCTTATCCGTATGTAGATAAGCGCATAATATCGTACCCAGCAACCTTTTGGACTGATATCGGTGTTTGCCGTTTGTGGAAATAAAATTACGATATCGTTTAACTCTGCTACTTCTGCGTACTGCGTCTTTGTAACATAATCCGTACCGAATGCTTCACTATTGTGAAAATAAAAAAAAGTACTTATATATTTCAGAAACATTTCGTTTTTACATTTTTTGACTAACATGTTGCTACTGCATCCATGAAAGGCGACATGGAATCGGCACATTTTCGTCTTATCGGCACACCCCTTGGGCACATAGAGGAGTCCGGTACTGCTCATGGACGTTTTTCCGGTCGTGGGCAAAAATTCGGTTTGATTGAAATAAATTATATTTCCATCGGCCACATAACCCTTCGGAGGTCTCGTAATATTTTCAGCGCCGTAGAGCCAGCTAAACATTTCATATGCCCCGTTGTATCCACATTCGTTGATGTAATGCTGATCTGGATTTACACTTTCACAAGGTCCGCCATATCCGTTACCATCTACGGGCTGAAACATAACCAAGTTTGGAACAAATTAAATAAAATTCAGGTTATGGATCTGGAGAAGTCAGGATTTGCACGTTTTTAAAGTTTCGTCTCTTTTTACCCTGCGAAAATAGCTTTAGCACGATACACAATAGTACATATGTGTAAATAAATTGGATGAATTCTCAATGCAAGAGAATTCTAAATCAAATGCATATATATAATTTTGGCTAGTAATTACAATTTAATGTGGAGGTGTCTCAGCGTATGCTTTCCGATATTGACCAAATTAGTGTCAATCGATCACAAATTTAATTAATACGAAATTTGCAAAGACACTATCTATCAATGCTAAGGTTTTGCAGAGGTATTTGCATCCGAAGAGGAGAAAATGTTCAGTGAGTTTGCAAAGTGCAAAATTTGTCAGCTTTTGGGCACGATTACTCCTCTTTGGAAGAAAATACCTCTGCCAAACCTGCAAATCGCGTCTTTTGCAAATTTCATATTAATTGAATTTATGATCATTGGGCACTATTTTAGTAAAAAGTCTGTGATAAAACGCTGGGAGACCTCCAATGTAGGATACATAGTCTGCAAGTTTTATGATAACGACCGAAAAATTTGTACCTGTCCATGTCCCGCATTAAGGCTAAACTCGGCATGCACGTCTGCCCCGAAATGATCGTACATTTTTTTCAAATTCCTTCCCGATTTCACGCCTATCGTTTTGTCGTTTGTTCCATGAAAGATGTACACTTTTTGGCCTTTAATGTTTTGCACGGGGCTTATCTTTCCCGCTTTGGATAACATGCTTGCCTCCAGGTTGTACAACGGGACAAGTTGGAAATCTGGCGCACACCCGAGGACGCTGACATATGCACAAAGATACGGCCCTTGAAAAAATACACAGATTATTCATGTGGCGAAAAATACAATGGTCATACAACCTTCACATAGCTCGCAAATTTTGCAAAGTGAGAGTGCTATATAACATTTCTTGCCAAGTTTTTTCGAAATTTCTGATGTACATATACTTTAGAAAGCATTTTTCAAGAAAGCAATGGGATTAAATTTACCAAGAAAATTGCCATGTTTTTATTTTGCAAAAATTATTTCGAAAACTATTCGCCAAATGAGTTGCCATGCAAAATTAAGCCGCTGACGTGAACTCACCTAATGAAAATTATTATGATACAACTAATTTTTAGTTTTTACTCACCTCCCTCAAATATTCCTGCACCTTTGATCACGTCGGAAAATATGAAATGAAATTGGTTACTCATCGCTCCACCCGAGGAAATTCCCGATACCGTGACTGAATTCGAGTCCACATTATATTTCTCTGAATTTGGTTTAAAAATAAATGCTAATTAAATTATCAATGCAAATAATTAAAACATATTCCAGATTTTTTTTACCCAGAGTCGTTGTCGTGTAATTCGTTTGGGCAAAAATTTCCACAAAAATGCAGAAATACACGATTAAACAGTATGACGCAAACATGTTATAAATATGTTGTTAAATACTTAAGAATGAAACTTTGATAACTAAATTATTTTGGCATCATACAGCAAGTTTGCAACCGTTTTATTGCAATCGGGACCGGATTTCAGCCACAATTTTTACCCATTAATCACCGTGAAACATGTGCCGAAACAACAGATCGAGTGGATTTATGTATCTTTGGTTAATAGGCATTTAGGCTTGTAATTAGTTTTTATAATTTATGGACGTGTTATTACACTTGTCACGGAACTCGAGACACATTAACCTATGCATTTTATCGTGTGCTGTTTCACACTGTACGGTACTATGTAATCCTAAGGTACATATTTATTTATATATGTACTCAACTCAGGAGGGGAGCTTGCGAGGTTGATAATAACAGATCCTGATGCCCTTTGGATATGTGGTAGGGTCCTATGAGTGTACTAAAACCCTGAAGTGGTTTGACTCCATAGCCACGTTTGCGCCCGCCACACCCACTCAAAAATGCCCCAAAACCGCTTTCACTCCAGTTTTCACTCACTCAAATCCACGCCAAAAATCCAATTTTGCTCGGATTTTGAAATTTCTTTCACCATTACACTCCCAGATAGTTGCTTTCTTCAATCCAATGTCAATCTCAATTTTGATGATGATTATTTCGCAGGCATAATTTGCGTTGTTGATTACTACAACATTGCTCATTCAGAATTTTAAATTTTAAAAATACTAATAATTTCGAAAATATTGAGTTTGATATCGAATTGAAGAAAGCAACTATCTGGGAGTGTAATGGTGAAAGAAATTTCAAAATCCGAGCAAAATTGGATTTTTGGCGTGGATTTGAGTGAGTGAAAACTGGAGTGAAAGCGGTTTTTGGGCATTTTTGAGTGGGTGTGGCGGGCGCAAACGTGGCTATGGAGTCAAACCACTTCAGGGTTTTAGTACACTCATAGGTCCCTACCACATATCCAAAGGGCATCAGGATCTGTTATTATCAACCTCGCAAGCTCCCCTCCTCAATACTACTCTACGTACATAGCATGCCCAAGGTAACTGGTAGTAGCTCTTTACCCCGAAACCGCTGGAGATAATGACAATCTGATAAGTGCATTGGATTCCTCGTGCGATTTTGCATACATACCGATAATCGATTTTATTATTATTGCAAAGCATATCAACAGGGAAAATACTATAGGGACGCGGGCGGCGATAATTTTTCATTAAAAAAATAGCAAGAGAAATAGCGAATTTGAAAAGTGTGACATGAATTGAACGTGCGCTTTAATTTAGTCAAACGGGCTATAAAAACGTTCATGGGGACTAAATCGACTGAGAACAGTCGAAGAAGAATTTTTTCAAAACCTCCAAGGACCACACCCATCGTGAAGGCGCTGAAGGGTAGAATCCGAAGAAATCCCCGAAATTTCAACGGAAATTAGCCTCAAAGTTGACAATGTGGATGCAGATTATCCAACGAGTACTCAAAATGAGCCCCAGCCTTGGGGCTTTGGAACGTAGTACTTACCACCCACTGACCATCCCTCATAGGAAAGCCAGATTAAAGAAATTAAGAGCTCACCTCAAGCGGTACGCACCAAAAAAGTGGAGAAGATTTTTTTTAAAGATGATGAGATTTTGACAACGGAAAAATCTTTTAACAAACGAGTTGACCTAATTTACGCCAAATCGGTCAAAGACATCCCCCAATATAGACAAAAGGTCAAAAAGTTACATTATCCAGGTTTTATCACGGTTTTGGTAGGGGGGAGCTAATTGGGGTAATTCCTCTACATTTCGTTGAAAATGGGGGGAAGGTGGGGGGATAAAATTTCTTAAAATACATTTTTAAGTTCGTAGTACATCCCCTCAATGCGATCCAGTTCAATGGAATCGATTGGACCTCTCAGAAGGATTCAGCATCACCAAATAGTGGAAAAAATGATCCAAGCGTGTCTAAAAAACTAAATTCTGCACTTTATCTCCACTTCGGAATGACCATCATTCTGGCTGTATTTAAAACCCCGGATTATGAAAAATGGTCAAAGTTAGAGCCAAAGGTGTGGTCTAAGCCTCAAAGACGTGTGGAAGCTTTAAAAAAATCTTTGACCACAGAATGATACAATTTGTCCATGGATTTCGTGCGTGCACCAATCGAGGACTGGAAGCAGCGTCTTCAGCGCTGTATTAATGCAGGGGGAGGAAATTTCTAAAACTAAAAATTGTTTTCTACTCAGAAATTAACTGGCTTTCCATTAAAATTAACCAGAAGGTTGTAAAGCAAAAACTGTTGAAGCCACAGCGTTTCATTTCACTCCCAGTTAGGTTGGGCATGCTATGTATGTACATATGTGGTTTCCTTAATAAATCATTAGTATCTATATTCATATGGAATTTAATTTATTTACATGACAAGTATTTTTCCGATATCACTTGTCTAGCAATTTCGAGTAATAAATGTTTGAACAATATCATGAGTTATATACATACCTACATTTCATTAAATATCTGTACCATGTTCTGACGTCCGAATGTACATATTTACATATACATCTTACTAACTTGTCTACTTGCGATTCCTCAGTAAGTTTATCATAAACTGCTCAGTTTTCATAGATTTGCGGACCGGACATGGCAATCGCTACATGGCAATCATTGCATTGCAATTTGTACATTGCAATCCTTACAACACATTATCATTACATAGCATTATCACTACATGGCTTTATTATTACATAGCTTTATCTTTGCATAGCATATTCCTTTAAAATTAGTCAGCAAAAATTGTGCACGTATATAGCCAAGTCAAAATCCAATCAAAAATAACAATAACAGTAAAATTAACTTTTTAGGTCATTGTAAATTAAGATTCAAGATTCTTAAAGACAGTACGCAATTTTTCGTAAGTACTCCATATGTGAAAAGTCATCTAACCCATACTTTTCAACCGTTTCTTGTAATTTTAGAGCTAGCAATTTATATTTATTCCCAGGAGTGGCCTCGGTTCCGGCTAAAAATTGATTCATTTTAAGTTCGGTCAATGTTTGTTGATCCTTGAGCCCTTGTATAAGTTTAAAAATAGTTGGATGGGATGCACCTAAAAGGGTAGCGAAGCCATGATGAAATCCCTCGCACGCATTTGTTGTCTTTGGAAGACCTTGTAAAACTGCGTGAAAGCAGTTCCACAATTTTATAGAGAATATATGCTCCAACCAAACATTCCTGCCACGGTTCCATTGCCCGATCCATGTGCGCTCAAAGTAGTTAATGAACTCGGCCAACATGATTTCATTCGTTGTGAAGAATTCATCTTCCATGAGAAGGTCAAACGACATAACCACATCGTCAGGGGGAACAAATGCTAAGCTCCTTAAGTGTTTCATCATAAGTGAGAAGTTCGAGTCATTGCTGTACAAATTGTGTATATCCGGGTGTTTTTGGATATTGCGAAATATGCACTGCGAATAATGGAAAAAGCAACCATTTTTCTCTGCTTGTGGAAAGATGTCCTCCATTGCCCTTATTGAGGCTTTCTCATAGTCACTCAGTATTGTTGTTGGGTCCAAATTAGGTTGAAGTTTCTTGATTTCCGAAAGAAGACGAATATATGTGCCGGATGTTCGATTGGGAGTCAAGCAATAGATAAGAGGAAATGTGCTTTCATTACGCATCCCGTGTAGTATGAAAAGTTGGTCAAAAAGAACGGGCGAAGACTGTAAAACGAGAATTCCAATTAAATGTTTGTCAATATAACGTAACAAAAAATGACCCTCACTTTAAAAGTTCCGTCGACAAGCCAAACATTGCACTGAGATAAAAATTCTAGGTTACGGGCAGTCGAGAAGATCATTATTCGATCCGCATGTGACCCACTATCAAATGCCAGGAAATTCTCATCGTTTGAAGTTATTTTAAAGGAGTCAGGCAACTTGATATCCTCCCTTTTGGAAGGAACGATAAGTGACCCAGTGGTCACACCTCTGACCTTCCTTATACCTCGTTTTATATTATGTGCAAGGGGCATGTGACCTTGACTTGCAGCTGGCATTTGTCTAACTTCATTGTCAATTAGTTGTGCTGGAGCAATGGAGGAACTGCTGGCTGCTTGTCGAATCTTGGTCATGACTTTTTTCACATCACAAGCAATAGGTTTTGGCTCATGATTATGTGACCCGACTTGCCGTAAAAGCTCTGGGTTACGTAAATTATCACTTGTTTGTAATCTGCACCGGCACTTGCACTTTTGAAACTGATCGCATCTCCAAGTCTTTTTTTCTAAACCATCTCTTTCAAACTGGAAAATGTTTCCATTAAACGTAAGCAATGGCCTTCCTCTTCTCGATGCTAATACTTCGATGTTAGTTGCCATTATTGAGATAGTTTTTAAAAACTTTAATACTTTTTTTTGGCACGGAATAATATATATAGTTTGACTCATGGATTGGTTTTGTCACAATACAATTCTTGTGGACCAGTGAAAACATGTGTAAGGAAGATGCTATGTAGCTGTCATGCTATGTAATGATAAAGCTATGCAAGGATATGCTTTGTAGTGATCATGCTATGTAGTGATAAAGCTATGTACTGATAAACCATGTAAGTCGCCGCCATGTATAAATTGCAATGTAAAGATTGCCATGTAAAGATTGCCATGTCTGGTCCGCGTACCGTTTTCATATACATAAATATGTCAAACTGTAATTAATTTCGAAAATAAATTGATAATTACGCCAGTTTTCGCCAAGCTCTTAAATTTCTGAATAATCAGACATTAGTTGGAAATTAATTTAATGTTATTTTTATTGCATCAATAAATACAATAATGCATGTACTTCATTCTCTCAAACCTGCAAAGTGAAGTAAAAAATGGTACATGCTTTTGGCAGATAAACTATAAAATATGTAAATACACATGTACATATGTACAACTTGTACAGTACAAGTGCTTACTTATGTCTCACCAATTTATTAACCTATCCACCTCATTTTATCCAGAACACAATGAAACCACATGCATACATTTGAACAAAATAGAAATTTACAATTTGTCCATTGTCCCAAAAACAATGCATGATTACGTAATGAAATATCTCGCTTCAGAAATCGGGCACATAAACCCAAAACTTTACAGACAATTGATATACATAAATATGTAATTATAATAAAAACAAATTCAAATCGAGGTTGTGACTTCGAATCCGTATCTCCGTCAAGTCACAACTCGTTTTTTTACTCGAAATTATTTTATACACAATTTTGTACAAAAAATTACAAAAAAATATGCAACGAATAAAGCCTTATTCTCATCGGGACGATAACAAGGAGCGGAGTCCGCTCTGCTCCCCGTGCAACTTGACCTTCTTCCTCTTCATGTTTCTAACCGGCCTGTTCTTCTTCTCTTGTGGGGTACAACCCTTATCAAAAAATCAAGAATCCGGTGAGGACATGTACATAAAAGGGCTAAGACATTAGGGGTATTCCTTACGAGCTAGCATTATTTGCAACGTTAGCAAAAAACAAAGTTGGCAAGCAATTTTGGCTTGAAAAATCATGCGAACTTGGGCATCTTCTCCAAGACTATTTAGTTCAGATTTTTTTCAAAATTGTGTCGCGATGCGAACTTGTAATGAAGACCTCCATTAATTATGTATCATAATAAAACGCTATTTGAATTCATTTTTCCCCTAGTCAAAGAAAACGAAATCGTCCCTCCACCAAGAGTGGTCGTCGTACCGGCCGAGACACCTCACGGGCAGGAGACAATTTATGGTTTGGCTCATTATCTATTATCCATTCACGATAAGATGTCAATAACATTTAAATTAAACACTTCTAGGTAACTCAAATCCTCAAGGATTCAAGAATGACATCTCAAAACAGAAGGCAAACATAAAAATAGTGAAAACAGATAGCCCCACAGAATACGTAGAACGGATTTACGACGAAGCGGTAGAAAAAGATAGCAAAAAGGACTCCATAATTTCCAGTACAGATAATGGTGTGAAGCAGTAAAAATTTCTAATCATCTCCAAGACCGAAAACTCTGCGTACATAAATACATTTCATCACAAACTGATCCATTAAAGCAACAGATAAAACATGACTGGATCAAATTTCACGGTGTTATTGGTTTAATACAACTGCCTAAAACTCTAACTCCTTCACCAACCTACACTCTTAGAAATCTAATAGTACAAAAATACCAGGCGGTATTCATATATGACTCAACCGAAGAATTATAGTAATAGCTTGATATTAAAGTTTTACCATATCGGACCCAAACTTTTACGGACTGGTATAATTTTAATACCAGGCGGAATCAATTTTATCGAAAAATCAATACACGCATGACTATACCAGATTTCTAACAGTGTATCTATGCTCTGCTGGATAATAAATAATTGCAAATTCCACTCCGTCAAATATCACCTCATAAAAAAAATCCGTCTAAATAAAAGTGTGCATTCATTCACAGCATGCTAAATAAATAAATACATGTACATATGCACGTTTCCTACTCTATTTGGTGACGCGATTCGCGAAATCCATTATGTTTTAACAACTGTAAACAATTCCATTATTCTCCTGGCATAAAGCAATAATAAACACGTTTATCTTAAACAAATGCCTCCTCGTAGCCACTTTCCACTTGACGACTGGCCTAATTAATTTTATCCTGGGCTCAATTAGCACACTTTCTTAAAGTCCAAAATTTGCAAAATTCACCGTCTTCTCAGGATGGCTGATACGGAGGCCAATAAATCAGAAGATGAGAACAGATCGTCCCTCGTCCAGTTCATCCTGTTAAGTCTGCTCCTCGTCGCAGTGATATTTTCCTGCTTGACCATCATCATCCAAGTGTCGCAGTGCCAAGTGCGCCATCACAGGGAAGGTTAGTCAGTAGAAATTAATTTACAATGGGGGTATTCATAATTTCTTCGTAACCTTAAGTAAGTATTTTTTTGCAATGTAAAATAGGTTACGATAATTACGAGATTTTGCAAGTGTCGTAAGATTATGTCATCAAAAGTTGTGTTTCTTACGATTTTTATGAAACTTGACCCCTAGTTTTATTTCGTAAAGTAGATATTTTACGGTACTACGGATACGAAGGAAGAACAAATAAACTCATTAATTTGCATAAACTAATACAAATTATAAGTATTTATTTTATGAAATCTATTCCGAAAAATTCACAGAATTGCGACAACTAAAGCAGACCAAAACCCAAGATTTGCCGACTCCACCACCACCACCCGCTCCCGAAGCAATGAACCCCCTCCAAACTTCCGATGATGATTTCGAGGTGTTCTATTCTGACCCAGCACCCCCCAAAACGGACGGTTTTGTTCCCACCACCGTTTTTCCTACCCGATGGCAACACATTTCCGACATGATGGATAAAATGTTCCAGCTCGGAAATAAGATCTTGGAGGGGGAGAAAGTGCAAAATGCGGATATGAAACTGCACTCCGAGTTATTAAGCAAGGTGAACGATATGGTGGAAGAAGTGGTGGAATATCGTGATCAGAACCATCCTCCCGGCGTTGTTATGATTTAATGCAGAGTTTGAACGATGGGCTTACGAAATTTTTATGTTGTTAAAATTAATCCGTTATTTATTTAGGTCTAAATCAAAATTTATCATCAGGTTTACAATTTGTATGGTTTTATTACAATGTATGGTTGCAAAATTCTAAATTGATGCTTGTTATGTACACATTAGGTACACGCAGTATGTAAATAAATATGCATTTTTGCTAAGAAGTTCTCGTGTACTTACATATTTACATAAATACTTAATTTATCAGTAAGTGTAGGCACCAACCCTGGAAAATCTTACCTACCTACGAACCTGGTTAGTAGTACACTTGGACCCCGGGTAGTACACTTCGACCGGCCGAAGGCCGGTCGAAATCATTCTCGGTCGAATATATATAGCAGAAAATACACAATAGCAGTTGGAAGTACACTATGACTAGTACAAAATTGATAGAAAATGCACAATAATCGTTAAAAGTACTTAGGATTAGTACACAATGTGTACTAGACATCGATCACTGGATAATAAATAGAACATACACTTGTCCTCGATAATGTAGTACACCTCGGCCGATACAGAATGAGCAAAGAATGCACATGGCTCGATAAACTAGTACACTTTTACATATTATGTAAATAAATTAGACACAGGAATATGGATAAAATATATGTATTTACGACCGAATGGAAGCACATTTCGAGAAAAGCAAAATGTAAATAGACTCTGCCAATTTCTAAAATTCGAATCAGACGAGGATATCAAAAATAATTGCCACTGCAAATTATCCAAATTAGTAGTTCAAGGATTCGAATCCGACTACCAAAATCATTCACACAAGGCCACTGGGGCGAATGTGATTATAAAAAAAACATGATTAAAATCTACAATGCTGTACAAATCTACAACGTTAAAGGAACGATTGTCATGACCTATGTTTTTTGAGAAGGCATTTAAAATCCTCTAACGCTGGTCTCAATTACGCAAATATCTTGGCCACGCATATCATTTTTTACTTTCAAACCGAATAAGTCTTGGCTCTTGGATAATACGCTTTAATCAGTCAGGGTAATGTGTATACATACATACATATGTCCACCGTATCTGAAGACATCATTTGCTATAAAATTAAAGATTTCGCAGTCTGCATAAGCTAAACGTGTACATATTGAAGAGAAATGTAAGCGTGGTAGACCGGAAAAACCTTCCAAGACATTTGAACTTGACTAAAAATCGAAAAGTTTGTAAAATTTTTTAAGCTTTCATATTTTGAAGTGATTTTAAAGTGTATTTTTACTTATGGTAAAGTCGAGTAATTATTAAGTAGCTTCAGCTACTTTATGTGAAGACTTTGTCTGTCTGTCTGTCTGTCTGTCTGTCTGTCCGTCTGTCTGTCAGCAGGATATCAGGAGAACGGATTGAGATAATCGAAATCGGTTTTCGCCATCATACATAGGACCCCAGGGGGAGGATCCTATCAACTTTTGGGGGCAACCGGACCACACCCCCTTTGGCGACAGGGGGCGTGGTCGGGGAAAAATGAGATTTTTAGTGCAATTTAATCTATAGGTGAAATAGAGTAAAATTATGTGTTCCGGAGTTGTGCCACACCCCCTCGGCGCCAGGGGGTGTGGTTGGGGCAAAATGAGATTTTTAGTGCAATTTATTCTATGGGTAAAATTAAGTGAAATTGAGTGAAATTAAATGAAATTAAGTGAAATTGAGTGTTTCCCCGATTTTGCCGCACCCCTTCGGCGCCAGCGGGTGTGGTTGGGGCAAAATGAGATTTTTAGTGCAATTTAATCTATAGGTGAAATAGAGTAAAATTATGTGTTCCGGAGTTGTGCCACACCCCCTAGGCGCCAGGGGTGTGGTTGGGGCAAAATGAGATTTTTATAAAAAATTAATCTATAGATGAAATAGAGTGAAATTAAGTGTTCCCGAGTTGTTCCACACCCCCTCGTCGCCAGGGGGTGTGGTCGGGGCAAAATGAGATTTTTACAAAAAATTAATCTATAGGTGAAATAGAGTGAAATTAAGTGTTCCCGAGTTGTGGTGGGACCGTTTGGGGTGAAGTACGTCTGAAGCTACTTCCGTATGCGCGTTTGCGACGGTTTATTATACACAACGAAGCACTTTATTATGGTGAGAGATAGTATTCGGGGAAAAAGTATTAATTATGGTCGAAAGTAGAATTTAATTATGATCAGTTAAATATTCCCCAAATCAAAATATGGAAGAAACGCACGACCAAATTCAAGTACACTTCCACGAGTATCAAATCGGAAAAAAATACAAGACGAATAGTGGTACACTTCGCCTAAAACAAAACATGGAAAAAATAAAAGACGAATAGTAGTACGCTTCGTCCAAAACAAAATCTGGATAAAATGCAAGACGAATAGCAGTACACTTCGTCCAACACAAAATCTGGATAAAATGCAGGAACGAGTGGAAGTACACTCGTCCAAAACAAAATCTGGAAAAAATACAAGACGAATGGTAGTACACTTCGTCCAACACCAAATCTGGAAAAAATACAAGACGAATAGCAGTACACTTCGTCCAACACAAAATCTGGATAAAATGCAGGAACGAGTGGAAGTACACTCGTCCAAAACAAAATCTGGAAAAAATACAAGACGAATGGTAGTACACTTCGTCCAACACCAAATCTGGAAAAAATACAAGACGAATGGTAGTACACTTCGTCCAACACAAAATCTGGATAAAATGCAGGAACGAGTGGAAGTACACTCGTCCAAAACAAAATCTGGAAAAAATACAAGACGAATAGCAGTACACTTCGTCCAACACAAAATCTGGATAAAATGCAAGACGAATGGTAGTACACTTCGTTCAAAACACAATCTGGAAAAAATACAAGACGAATAGCAGTACACTTCGTCCAACACCAAATCTGGAAAAAATACAAGACGAATAGCAGTACACTTCGTCCAACACAAAATCTGGATAAAATGCAGGAACGAGTGGAAGTACACTCGTCCAAAACAAAATCTGGAAAAAATACACGAACGAGTGGAAGTACACTCGTCCAAAACAAAATCTGGAAAAAATACAAGACGAATAGTAGTACACTTCGTCCAGCACAAAATCTGGAAAAAATACAGGAACGAGAGGACGTACCCTTGGACGAGTACAAAATGGGGGTAAAATACACGACGAATGGTAGTACACTTTAACACAAAAATTAGAGAAAAGTACGAATCGATAACTGGGAAATACGCTTAGACCACCGAAATACGTTGAGAATTATATTTCAAATTCCAATCCCAAACCGTTGTGTCCACAAAAATTTCGCAGGCTGTTTGAGATTTGATAATTGTCACAATACTAAATAAGAAAGCTAAGCAGCGATCAAATTGAGTTCGAAACCACCGGTAATTCGATTCGAATTTACAATTTGGCTGGATTGGTGCAGTTCGAGTTAGGAGTCGCGTCTTGAACATGAAATCATTAAGAAACCCATTCCATAGGGCGTTACTAGCGCAACCTCTTCGAAAATTTTGAAGACGAATTTCAGACTCTCATAGCCCAGCTAAATACATAGCTTTCGAAAAATGTATGACACATCTAGGTCAACACGTTAAATACTAATTTGAAGGAGAGAAGCTGAACAAAATTATATTCAGTTTCTCCAAATTAAATACTCACGCTCGTATATTTTTCGAATTCATGGATTCCGGTAAATCTGCAAATGTATTAATCTTTGCTTGAGGCTTCGATCATGATGATGTAGAAAATGACGAACTTAAAAATTAGTCGCGTCGCAGTTTTTAGATTTATGTATAAACGAGTTCAATTTTACCCAAACTTGATTTTAACAAATTCACATGTTTTTCATCAGCATCGTTCATCATTTCTGCATCTACATATGCTTTTTAACGAGTTTGTACTTTGGGTGCAATTTTCTTTGTCCTGAATTTATTTCCTAGTTTATGAGATAGAACGAGAGATAAGTCGCTTCAATTAATATTAGCGCTATTGACATCTACTTTTGTAGCTGGATACAGTTTTTTTTACCTTAATACTGTCCCAGTTAGATTTTCGGATCCTACGTTTTCGGAAACCCATTTCTTTCTAACGTAGGAAATAATGATCGTATTTTAAGCCCCCTTATTCACAATTTAAGGTTAGGGGTTAACCTCTTAACGACGAAGTACACACCTTTATGCACTACATATGTGTACTGCATAAATTAGCCTCAAATCAAAATTTCTTAAAAAGAATTTCCGTGATATTTTATGGAAAACTTGATAATAAAAATTTGATTTTTGTCAAGTTTGTATTCTCAAATTGTTGGTTTTCGGTGATTTTTCGTATTTTCGGTCAAAAAACTCAAGCATTGAAAACTGGTTGACAATTTTAATTGGTTTTAGCAGGTGTAATTATGATATCAGCATCGTGCCGAACGGAAATTTTATTAAACAATCAGTAGTGCGAAACAGGTTAACAAAATGGGAGTCAATAAAAATTCTATGTATTTACGTCTCGCTAAATGATTCACTCTTTTTTCTACTTTACCATTTCAATTAAAACTATTTGACGGTTTAACTTCAAATAACATGCAAAATAATGTGTACACCATTTTTGGAAAGCTTCTGAATTGGGGCATAAAAATGCAGTGTTCAGTTTATACCAAATTGTAACAGTTTTTCGGCAACGAACGCACTCAGGGAAAATTGTCTATATTATTGGATGATCCTCTTTAAGGCCTATTTCATACCTTTCATTCTAATGTTGTTGTCATTTCATTTTCTTAATTTATTTGCCATCGGATTTATTTTGTTTTTACCAAAAATTAACGCCATACCAACAGCAAATTGCAATATATATATTGTTGATTTCATTTCGCTTTGAGTTTGGTTTCATTTTCATCCCATTTTCCAAAGTTGAAAGTGTTTTAAGTTTTGAAAAATAAAAATGGGGTTACATTCTTTATAATCAACTCTAACAATGGTCGAGGATGCCTTGTATGGTTTATATTTGTAGTTTTACTTGTTAAACAATGAATCGAAGGTATTATTTTGCGACATCTTAAATTTTGATTTTAGTTTGGTTTCCCGAACCGCAGTTTAGGATTAGGATTCATTCCAAACTCTGGATTTCAATTTTCATATCGTTTACCAGTAAAATGAAATGATCGTGAAATTAATTTTTCTGCAATTTCTTCGATCAACTATGCACTACAAAATTGAAAATAACT